CGTTGGCGGTAAAGCTATTTCACACCTTTAACATGGTGTTCATTGTGTTCACAATAGGCGGTCTTTAGAGCCGGAACGAGCCTACTCGCAGATTAGTTTCACTCCCACCTAACATCCCTATGACAGTGGAGGAATTGGTTAGCTCAGAACAAGATCTAACCAATTATTATGTTTTCACATCACTGACCGCCGTTCGGTGAAATGCCTACCGATCGTTCTCTTGAACATTAATTCTTCGAATAATCAACTTACGTCTTTTAATATTACTTTAACTTACAACAGCAATAAGAAAATATTGTCCTGTCTACCTAATATTTTTACGGGGTACGTCAACGAGTCCATGTGTTGATACGACGATCACGTTGAGGTCAATTCGCTCCCGAGCTTGAGCCGTAAGTCGTTCGAGAGCCTAAAAGCTTATTGTCCAATGAGTCATTTAGAAAACGAAGATCTTGAAAAAAAAAAACAGCTTTAGCCCAAAGTTTAAACAAGGACAGATCATCGAGTAAAACACGCCAAGCAAATTCGTTGTGCTTCGTTTTTCGCAGTCTCTTTCAACTACATAAAGCAGTTGCCAGTGATTATGAACATTTTTTTTCGAACACTGAGAATTGTGTTACGTTGTGTCATCTTTCAGTGTCAACAATTTCATTTATCACGTTGCTATCATGTCTTCTATTTCGGCACATGGACTCTACCATCATAGTGTTTACCAACTATAACTTCTTGAGCAGTCATTTGCCACTTAATTTAAATTACTGTAGTTTTCTTTCGGAAATTTTCACTAAACTTTTGAACAAGAAAAATCTGTGATGAAAACCGACCTGTTGAAATCTGTCCACCTCCGTGGCTGTTACAGCGTTCGCATTCCTTGGCCCAATATTCGCTGTCTGCTCTCGAATGCTCGGGTGGTGAATGAGAACCAAATCATGGAACCTTAAAACATCCCTAAAACTTTTGTCTGCTGTATTTTTACTCTTTATTTTTAGTACCATAATTTCAGAATTATAAAAGTATGATGTCACTAATCGAACTCCTACGGGAGATTTCCATCTGCTTATTCACGAGATTGTGTGATGCGTTCGCGTGCTGGCTTCCACGTATGTAGCATATCCATGTGGCTCGTTTCAACTTTTTTACTTTACTTATAAATATGATCCGAATGCACAAATGATGCAGATTTGAGCACCGCTTCTATTTGGTTCTTTATTGATCCATCTTGCACGAGGCTCTTCGGATTAGAGCGTGCGTTCGACTGCCACATTAGCGACGCTCCGTTTTCTTCCTATGTTTTTGAACTCTGGTTGAGTTTATTCTCTTTGGAATTCTTATATAACTCTTTTAAAGCGTTGTCAGATTTTGCCAAAAGCCGTTTTCGGCCACATTTGGTTTCATAGAGTTTTCCCTAGACTTGTTTATTACCAATCCGTTGTAAGGACAGGAGGTTTGGTTGGATAGCCGCAGAGCCTATGCAGCGACCAAAGGTACTGCGCAGATGTGAGCTCCTAATCTCATATTCTTTACAAGATTGACTTACATATTCCAAATAGTTGTAGTAATTTGTACGAACACTACAGTGGGTTCGGATGCAGGCACTTTGCTTGACAACTTGGCACCGCAGGTCGATTGCGCCATAACACACAGTACTACCGGTTTCTTCGAAACAAAAGACGGATAAGAATTGTTCCAATAAGTAAGCGCGGAATCTGTTCCAAGAGGGCTATCCATAGGCATGCCTTGCCCACCTTCTCAAACCCGGTCAGACTACCAGTGGATCTGATGGATCTTAAAAAGCATGACTCTCGATGACTTAGAACACATTTAAAAGTTCGATTCTCATCACATTTAGTTGTTTGCAGTTCGTAGTCATATATGCCCCCATATTTGTCAAATAAAGTGGTTTAATCCTAAATTCTGAAGTGTTTCATAACATTCTTAGCAAGCATGCAACAGTGATTCAGTGATTACAGCCAATCAAATTTATGTGGATAGGAGAAGGCAACTATTTCTTGTTCAGGATTTTCATAGGTAGATAAATGGAGTCTATTTTGGGAAGAACTTAGTAATAGCCGCACATGACATCCAGTTTAAAATAACTTACCTTGTGGCTTCGACAATGATTTTTGCGATTCGGTCATCAGCAAACGATAGGCCGTCATCTCGTGGAGGTAAGCAAAGATGTGGGGCTGGAACCCAATTCACCTTAAAGTCCAATTTTATTCCTTTCTGTGTCTAATGTCTTTGTTTTGTTTCTTTTCGTTTTCAGTTTGCATGTCTAAATAACGCCTCTTAAAACCAAACAATCTGTGTCTTATATATAGCGTCGAGGCGAATTAGCCAATCCTTCAGTAAAAATGAAAATCTTGCTTTAACTCGCTGCAAAAATTACAAGAATAGTAAGAATAATAGGTGCGAACAACACCAAGTGGGGCTCTACCAATAGCACCACTTCCTCAGCCGTTCTTTAGACAACAAGAGCCCAACAATGAAGTCGATGTTAAATTGCGGATTTTTACGAATGAAACTCTCAAAGCCTTTAATCACTATTGCGCAAAAAGATACAGATCCATCCCCACTGAAGTGCAAAAACGTGGTATGCGAGAGGTACGAGAGCTGAAAAGGTTGGAAAGCACAAGGCTATCCGTCAGTGATAAGGGTGGAAAGCTTATCGTAATTTCACATCAGCTAGATGTTGAGATAACGAAAAAGCATCTTGAAGATGCTTCAATTTATCGCCCATCATCTGAGAAGGAGTAAAAGTAAACACCGAAAATTGAACCACGAATGGGCCAAAATAGCAAAGGCTGATGGTTTAAAACCATCTAAATCTAAAAGTTAACTTACTAATACGTCCCGTCTTGTACTTGCTTATAAAAACTCATAAGTTAGTATTCAGCGATGATCTTGCGTCTGCCGATCCATCATTATTTATGATTAGGCCTATCACTAGCTGTGTAGATGGGCCAACGGATAGTATAACATGGTTTTTAACCCTAATCTTTACCCAGTTGTTGAACACATTCCAGCCCATCTTACGAATACCCAGATGTTCCTGGATAGTCTACGAAACGCGCGACCTAACAGCGCGTACATGATGGAGTCCTTCGACGTTACCGCCCTTTGTACAAACGTGTCGAATGACTCCGCAATGCAAGCCATATTCGAACTCTTTATACAACACGAAAAAGAAATAAACATGTATGGCTTCAAGGCAGAGCAGTTGATGGCACTCTTAAAAGAATGCTTGAGCTGCTCAATCTTCAGATGGTCTGGAAAGTACTACGGTCAAATAAGAGGGTTGGCAATGGGACAACGAGTCTTGCCAAGTCTTGCCATTGCGTTTATGTCTAAGGTGGAAACACCGGTGATTGATCGCCGGCCGCTACTCTGATGTAGATATACAGACGACTGTTTTGTACTTTGCTCAACAGAAGAGGAAATGGACAGATGTTTCGAGTTGTTGGATAAACAGTCAGAGTTTATCAAGTTCACCCGAGAGAAACCAAAAAAGAAATCGCTTCCATTCCTGAACGTCCACATTAACCAGTCAGAAAATGCCTACACTACGGAGTGGTACCGAAAGTCAAGTAGTAAAAACACCTTGGTTCATTACCTCTCATCTCTCCCTTCTCACACGAAAACTGCGCTTGCAAGAAACATGTTTCGAACAGCAACCAACGTGTGCACGGGAAGAGAGCAGAGAGAGGAATCCCGGACCTTGGCGCGGCAAATAACCATTTCTAATGGCTACGAAACTGTAGCTTGGGATACATGTGGGAAAAATCCGAGCCCGCCAAACGACAACTCTATCGATAAAGAGTCCGTTTATCCTACCCTTAATCTCAAATAATGTAAGTGCAGCTGTTAAACACTGCTTGAAAAGCGCGGGTCTAGAGAATTCGGTAAACGTAGTTGAAATGCCACCGAGTAATCTTAGGCGCTAACTAGTTCGTAACCGCCTATATGACCGTCTATGTGCAACGCAAAATTGCATAATTTGCTCCAATGGTAAAGACGGTTATTGCATGAGCTCGGGTATAGTTTATCTGATCTCCTGTAAGATGTGCGGAGACGAATACTTTGGCGAAACGGCCAGACCCCTCTGTCTCCGCATAAAAAACACCTAGCCGGCAGACATAAACCAAATACCCCACTAGGCACGCATAGGACCCAGAGACATAACGGGAGGACTTTGAAGTACACGTCACGATCCTCGCTCAGGAATCGAGAACACAAGCGCGCAAAACTCTCGAGGCATTCTGGATTAATTCCAGAAATCCGAAAATGAATCGGAGGGAAGAATGCCTCATTATCATGCGGGATATTGGACAGTATATAAACCTACTATTCTGATGGGAGGGGCACATTACGCTTCCATGTGAATTCTGTGCGGTTGGTCGCGTTTTCTTTGTTTGGTTATGGAGGTGTTTGGCCGAATAGATTGCTGTCGACTTAAGCATTCCATGCTCTGAGGAAAGCGAAATCCGCCGAAACATCAGCTTGTACGTTAATAAAGAAATGAAATAACACCTCGTGTTTGCTGAACAAAAGCAGAAAGAATTATTCAATCAACGCTGAGGTTAATAGAAAGTCGGACGTAGGGGAATAGTAAGAGTTACCGTAAAGAAATCACAAACTCACTTTGCACTCTGGGAAGAAGAACATTGCAACCGATGCTTTTGATCTCGTTGCAGTCACATAAATTGGATCAGTTGTCCACCATTCGCTGAAAAAACTACGGCAGCTCTCTTCCTCTTTAAATGAATTTGTTAATTTAAGAAACACACAGCACTTTAAAAATGATCTTGGAAATGATAGACAGGCAAAACGAAGGACCCGCATGGTGTGGTGGTGAAGGCGTCAACCCCCGGAAAGAGTAATAGCGTGTTCGGTCCCAACGCAGACACCAGCGGTCCACAGTTTTGTATATATCTAAGCAACATTATGGACATAAAACTTTATTCACAGAATTTGCTCTATACGGTTTCGCTTTGTCATGGCTAGTTTTTGGGGATTGAAAACCAACGTAAAGGCGAATCAAACGAGTGGACATACCTTTGGTTAAAATCTGATTTGATCGTGAAATTCAGGAACTTTTGCTCAGTCGTCCAGTTAAAGATGATATCGCCTATGATTCCATGCTCACGAGGTAGCACACCTTTAATGATGAAGCTTTCCATTGCTTTTCTTTCTTTTTCGTTTTCGAAACGTCTTACGGTTAGGACTAAAGGTTTTAATTTACTGCTTATACCAGAGCAAGCCAACAAATGCAATGGTATGTTTGGACTGTCTAGGATGTCGAAATCAGCAGCTTAAAATAACTAAGTGTTAAGATATAGTTACTAATCAGATTTACTGCAAAATAATAGTTTTGATGTCAGGTTAGTATGAAACTTCAAAACTGGAAAAGTTTCCTTTTGGAAAAAACTGGAAAATGATCTGACTCCATTAGATAGCAGTTTGTTCCCTGTTTTACTATACGACTTTTGTTTTTTGTGCGTGAAAATGATTAGCAACCTCTAATGAGGCCGAGATTTTACCAAGACTACAATAACCCTTCACGATTGGGCTTACGGTACCTGTTAGAAGTGTATGTCGATTTGGTAACGGTAAGGTGGGAAAAACTGGAAATAGTCTTGTAGACCATACGCCTTCCTCTTCGAAGACACGAAAACCAGACAAATGAGAGAAACGATGAAAATGCATTCCACTGAGACCATCAGCTGGAAACTAAGAACTGTTAAATTCATTAAAGTAAAGGTGAGGTCATAAAGAAAAAGATTTATTGAGGTTTCACACCTTTGAAAACGTAAGTTTCATAAAATCTAACCAATAATTAGGACGAGTTTCTGAGCATCTGTGATCGATTCCATCCAATGAAGGAGCAATAGAATTGAAATAATCATCGTCGTGAGAGGTCATCAAACTTCCCAGTTGGTGGAGTGAAAAGAAAACTTGTGCTGAAGAATGAAGCCCTGAAAGAAATAATAGCCAAACGAAGTGTAAACGAGTCAAACCATGCGAACTCAGGATCAACACGAAAAGTTAGGTCGCAATGAGTTTATGAACTTAATAAATTATCCATATTCATTTCTTTAATTGCGTGCTTTACATTAAAAGCAAATGTGTAGTTGAAGACGGTGAAGACACTGTTAAAATACACGGAAACAACAAAAGGCCAGAATAATTTGAATAATAACCACAACAATGTTGAGATATTTGCAAAAACTTGCACCCCGGGCCAGGTTGAGCCGCGATTTCCCTCTCCGGGGACTCGCGCAATACACGCTGCGTCACGGAGACCCTCAATTTGCGTTTCTCTGTGCTAGTTTCCTACCTACCACTGCCATCAGGAAATACCCGTCAACGGAACTGTTGTGGAAGCCCATATGGTTATTGAACCCAGTTAAGCTGAGGCTGTAGAAAAAAGAAAAGTAAATGTTGCGAATCTGAATAGCAACTGAATATTGATCAATGAGATTACACAAAACAATGTGCGATGTCATGAAAAATGTATTTTCCGCGTTTTCTTGTTTTCTTTTTGCTTAGTAAAAGTCGGTTTCGTCATGACGAGCAAGACCCTTCGTGGTAACTAGCAATTCCTGAAGCTCCATTGTCAACGATAAACGTGAGAGTCTTTCAATGCAGAATACCGTAACGAAACAGCCACATCGTAGTAGAACGAAGGGTTTGCCTAATCAATGTTGCTGCTGTCCCAAAATTTTACACAGGATCAGACCATCGCATCCTTCGTGAAAGATTTAATCTCGAGCGGAGACGAGAAAAAACGGCTAAATTCAAAAGAAAACCACGGCCTAAAGCCACCATGAAAAGAGATGTATTCAGTATATTGGATATTGAGAAGATGCCGTTTTTGATAACATCGACGAAGAATATGATCGGCTTATTCAACATCCTCACATAGTCACATAGTACCATGAAAGCTGAGAATTCGAAAGTCACCAATAGACGTCTATCTCCAGAAACTTTGGAGCCGGTACGCCAGCATAGACTCGCCGGAGCTACATCAACTCATGTCCGAGCTTGCAATACAATGCAAACCAGCGATAAAAGAAGGCCTTAAAAAGAGAAGAGCGGAAATTATGGTTGAAGTTACAGAGGCTGGGAAAAGCATTCACAAAATCCACCAAATCTTCACCAATTACAAAATTAAGATGATTGCACTCCGACGCCTAGAGGGAGCACTTACTATAAATAAATAAAAGAGGATGGTTATGTGGTACCACCGGTTCTGCCTTCTGAAATAATATGTGCTAATTGGCCGGTGAAAAATCGAACAGCACCAGGTCCGGACAGGATAAAATCCGAGCACCTGAAGAACCTTCCGCCAGTCCTCGTAAACACATTGGCACGGCTCTTCACACGTTACCTGTCTGAATGTAAGGTCCCTACTCAATGAAAGACCAGCAAGACCGTGTTATTGTTCAAGAAGCGTGACCTGCACGATATTGGCAACTATCGCCCAATCTGCTTACTGTCTGTCGTCTACAAACTTTTCACTCGAGTCAACATAAGCAGGACTGATAGAATACTGGACGAAGGACGGCTATGTAAGCAAGCAGGGTTTCGAAAAAGATTTAGTACGATAGACCATATCCACATGATAACAAGGATCATTGAATTATCGCGAGAGTATAAAAGACCTCTTTGCCTCACTTTCGTCGATTTAAAGAAGTCTTGTGACTAAGTTGAGATAGAAGTTGTCATGAAAGCCCAAGACAGCCAAAGAGTCCCTACTCAGTTTGTAAACATTCTTTGTAGGTGTATAAAAATTTAACTGCCAAGATATCAGCGTTCTAGAACGACATCAACATTTCTTAATAGTTCAGAAGGCCGACTTTCTACAAACCTCGGCATAAATAGCCGATATAGGTATTCGCCACTTTCTAGCTAATTTACTCTATAATACTACGATACTCGGTGTCTTTGGAGGTAGTGCTAGTGTGTTTCGATCCATTGAGGTCTAGTCGCGACAGATTCTGATACATAGAGATCGGACGTATTGCTTTTGTACAAATTAGGCCTCAATGGATCCTAAAACAGTTTCTATGGTCCTTACAAATCTCGCCAATTTTTTCTGTAATACTATAATACTCTGTGCCTTTGGAGGTAATACTAGCGTGTTTCGATCCATTAAGGCAACTCGCCGCACGTCGTTGGCCTCCGGGCGGCAAACTTTCCCTCTTCCTCCATCCCTATCTAAATGTCCTGTATCATATCACTCCCACTGCTGATTAGGCAGTGCTATTTTCGATCTTTTCTCAAAGTCGAGGAGATAGTTAGTCGTAGTGTCACAATCTAAAAGTCGTTATTCTTCGTCATAATAGATTATGCAACCATTTATTTCACTGTGACGAGTTTTGTGCAGCTAGGGCTTCCATTTTGTATTGAAATCCTCGTATATTAGCGGTAGGCAGAAAATTTTTTCTAAGTATATGGGTCCAGGGGACGGGTAGCCTAATGACAGTGATGCCGTCGAAGGTGCTCATTCGACCTCGCGTTCACGAAGTCCTCCCTACTGTTGGGGTCGGGAAATTGGCACCAGTCTTGTCTAGGAACAGTTCAGTCTCTGCAATCCAATAGGAACGCTCCACTTTAGATTTAGAACTCAAGGGAGAATCGGTTAGACCAGTATTCAATGACATTTATGAAGAAACCGACAATTTTCGAGGAAGAGCAGGACCCACATGCGAAATGTTCGAAGACGTTCGTGGTTGACAGAAAGGAGAAGAAACGAACCGAATGCAAGAAGTGATGGGATCGGCGCAGTAGGTGTGGAGTTAGATTAGTTAAGATAAAAAAAGGTAAAATATGTAGCTTCGCAATTCATATCTCTCATCCAATTGCCAAATATTTTATTTGAAGCCTCGCACGTTTTTCGATTAAGTCTCAGGCTTCGTTCGGTTAATAAACAGGTTCCCAACGGTTTACCGCTTCATCATGGCTGGGAGGTCTTCTTAGGTATCGGGTTGTGATGTATAGCGGAAGGATTCATCACCTTGGTAGGATCTCCCAAGCTGAGAAGGAGTCCAATGTATCCTTCAGGAAGCCCAGCTAAAAGTAAACCAGTGCCACGATCCGTCACCGTCTTCCTATCAGACTGGTCCCATGTATTTACACGTACTTATAAACTTATCTTGTCGAGCTGATGTGAGATTTGTACAAGTTTTGGCTGCTCTTGTTGCTGTCGTTGTTGGTTGATGGCTGACGTTTCGGCGATTTCACCTTCTTCAGAGTCTGGACGTACTTTTTGTAACAGTACTCTTATATTCGGCGAATTATCTACATATTAATGGAGATCAAACACATAAATAAACGCCAAAATAGTCAAAAAGGCTACTTACCGTGATGCTAGGAGGAGTGCCCGCGTGTTGTTCACGTGGGATGGCGCGCGAGACCAACCCGGGTCAAAAAATCATTTGGAAATAAGGCGCCACATCATATGTGATAGAGAGGCACTGGTCTTTCCGGTTAATCTTTGGATCTTTGAAATTTATCCAAAACGCCTCAAAAGTCTTGCTTGTTGGTGTTTTCGATTCCTGCACTGATATCCGGACATTCACTTCGAAATCATCGACATTGTGTTTTTGTGCCCTATGTTTACCAAAAGAGTGCATTGACGAATTTTGCCTTCCCATCTAGGTGTTCTTTTATGCATAGGTGTTCTTTTATATATATATATATATCTAGGTGTTCTTTTATATATATATATATATATATATATATATATAGTACATAGTATAGTATAGTACATCAATATATACAGAGGATGAAGGGTAAAGCTCTCAGCGTTGATCAATCTCTAAGAGATTGCGCCATGCATTCGACTTCATTATGCATCGTTTGGAGGTGACTAAATGCACATCTGAACTTTACAATGACTCACGGTGGCGTACCGATGTATCGAGCCAGTGCCGCTATCCTCCCAGAAAAGTCTGGTACCAATTTGCCGACCCCGGGAGATGGAAAGCTTGATGGGCCACGAGGGCAGGGATCGACCCCATGTGTGTGTGTGTGTGCGTGTTGCCAGGCGCCCCCGACCACTGCGCCACACATGGCCTCTTAGTAATATGTAAAGTATAGTATATATGTATATATATATATATATA